ATACTACTACTACTACTACTACTAATACGACTACCACAAGTACTACCATGAGCATTAATCTTTAATAACGGGGCGTCTAAAAGGAACTTTAAAATGAAATCACCCAGTCATCGTGTTAAAGCCTTGCATTACCCACTGACCATGCAGTATGCCAATACTTTAAAGCTAAACAAATCCTGTATCATCTAACACTTTAATATTTCACCTGTGTTAAAGATACGCCCGAAACATTGTTACTCAAAATTGGCCTTTAAAAATCAGGCTTGGCAAAATTGTTCGAAATCAAAGAAACCTAAAATTGTTTTCACGCGTGTATTAAGGAGCATATTAAATATTGATAGAATTTGCATACATTGCATCAAATGAATGGAGAATTGTGTCCCTGCAATAAACAGTTGTTTTTTGCGATAGTTTCGGACAAAACGATTCAGAGCAATCACAATAAATACCACACAAAACTTGGACTTAAGTGCTCATTGTAATTTTGCTCGGGAGCCATTAGTTTTGTTGTGGAGCTCGAACTCTTTGGGCAATGACTCTATTAAATGTTGGACATAATTATATGTCATTTCATCCTCAATGTCACCGAGAGATGCCAACAAAGGGTCTGAATTGGGAGCCAAGTCACTTTTCTTCCGCCGCTGTTTCAGTGAGATTCACATACTTGTAGGATTCATATCGGGGCTATATACTCCAAAGTTGATATTATGATAATTTGGTTTCCAAGAATTGTCTAGTGGCAATGGCCCTGTGAGGAAGTGCCTTGCTATGCATGGGGATGTCTACTTGAGTGACATTCTGACGAAAATAAGGGTTAGACACGACTTTCCAGCACTAGCCCGATGTAGTCCATTAAACCAACCCATCCGTTGATTCTCACGTGTGCGGTTTTGTTCCTTCCACCCTAGACCACCCAAAACCATGCTAGCTTCGTCACGGCCTCTGTTCCTCACTGACAGATGCTTTTGTCCAAAATCCAACTGACACAATCCATGTGAAAAAAATATTTCGTACTCTACACGAAACCAATAGCTCCTCAACAAGAACAAAATTATACTGTGGAACACGTGTAATATTACGTTCAGGTTTCGCGTGGTGTTTATGACTGCTCTGTTTTCCCATCGGTTTAAAAATTCTAATATCAACAGAAGATGCTCTTCATTGCAGAGGCAATGATTCTCTTCTTGCTTTTGATATTCAATACATGTCCCTTCGACCCATGTTGATGCACCTCAATACACAGCGAACACTTTTTACTACAACAACGACGACTATATCAACAACAAAAACAACAACAACGACAACAACAACAACAACAACACAATAATAACAGCAACAACAGCAATAAAATCAGCAACAATAACATCAGTAACACCAACAAAGTTGCCACTACTACTACTACT